GAGTACCGACCTGCAGTTTGTCTTCTTGGTGTGACTGTAGTTTCCTGATTGTGTAGCTATTCTGTCCCCTTCTTCCTCCATCCTCTTTCTCGTTCTTATCTGATCATAAAGCACACATTGTTACTGGTTGTTGCTCCTTATTTTTACGGAAGTTCCAGTATCTTTGTTGTGATCTGGTTGTTACTGACTGGAATTTTAGTAAAACGAACACTATAAAATTCATCAAAGCTCGATACACTTTTAAAGTTACTGTTTATCATAGTGAGTTGACTGTAAATTTCAGTAAAAAAAACTGTATTTAAAGCTTCATGACGATGAAATATTTAGTATGTGATTAGTTCATAATGTGTTGATCATTGTACAGCAGGTTGATGCGAATGATGAATTATAGTATGTTTGTGTTCAGGAGTTTCCTCTACAAGTATTTGATTAAAGGCCAATTTAATTTCAGTCGATTGTAATAGACACTCATTTTTTTAATACCAAAGTGTTATCTTTTTTTTGAGAATCACCAAAGTGTTATCTGTGTACGTGAAATGTCCATGTCAAGAGCTTTCTTTGGGCCAAGCCCAAATAATGAAATATACAAGAATAACGACTCCCCACCAATGAACAAACTTATATATCAAAAAAACTCAACATAGTAAAAATAGTTTTATATATTCACACTTTTTAAAAACTGGTCAAAATTCCCAAAAGTTGTTCCATTTAAAAAGTGCATTTAAAAATGTTTAAAAAAACAGTCACTATTTTTTAATAAAGCATTTATTTTTATTAAACAAAATCATGTTTTCTGAAATGAAAAAAAAAAAGAAAACTGAATCAGACACTATTCCATGAAGTCTTCAATTAGGCGAAGAATGCCATGGTGGCTTCTGAATGACCAAAATTCAACTGAGAAGCAACAATGTAACATTAGTACCGACGTTTAATAGGACTGAATATAAGAAATGGTGCGTATATGACAAAGAAATTCAGGACTTCATGGAGTCCAAGGTTTGCTGGGTGCGTCGTTCAAGAACAAAGTTGCCCATGTTTTAGTTGTAATAAAAATAAGCTTGGTAAAACATGGTTCCATGTCTTGCCAGCATGTGTTATCACACTCAGAATCAATGGAGACTGGTTAATAAATCACAGCGATTCCAACTCAAGAAAAAGGGAAATTGTACCTAACGACATATGGAGCAGGTTTTGTAAGATTCCACGCCCGTTGCAACGCACGGGCATTTGTACTAGTAGTATATAAAACACGCAATTCTCTTGCGTGTTCTTGAAAAACAAAATCCCCAGAAGGGAAAGGAATAAAGAAAAGGTGCGCGGCCTCGCTGGGCCTGCCCATTTAGAGACGCGGCCTCTTTGCCTCGCTACATACATACCTCTCTTGTTTATGTAGTTTGGGCTGGGTAACAAAGAGAAACATGACGGGCTGAAAGCCCCGAATGCCCACACCCACCAACCCATAGCGCGAAACGCAGACAGAGATCCAAGGTAGATAACCAAGTCAACCCCCAACCGGCGCGTCGCTGCGAGCTACCCCGACGGAGCTCCACCTGATGGTAACTCATTTTTAGTATATACTCCCTCCGTCCCAAAATTCTTGTCTTAGGTTTGTCTAAATACGAATGTAGTATCTAGTTACGTTTTGTTGTGTACTCCAGTATAGTACAGTAGTATTATCTGTCGGTGTACATGTGAACCTTTGCTTGTTCTGATGGAACGGCAAGGATGCTGGATGCTGAAATCTGAATATTTCCGGTAGTCATTTTGTCCTGTTGCCGTGCAAGTCCAAGTCCCCGGAACACCATGGCACATATTTCCTCATGACGACAGGCAACACAGCCAGGAATGTAGCCTCTGAGATATTTCTAAATTGCTTGATCTTGAATTCCTCGCAGAGACCACCAGCCAAGAATAATCATCTCTTACACCTTGTGGTCTTGTGTACACATTTGCCTTTCCTGTCAAATCCAGGCTGGACTTTTGTGTGGCAAATAATTGGATATAAAACTCGTGCCAATGTGACAAGCCACATCAGGAATACCATAATTATGGCCTCTGTTTTGGCTTTCTACCTCGTGTATTTGAACCCTCCAAGCATCTTCATAGTATCTATCTACTTGCTCTGCTCTTCATAACCATATGCAGAAGAAGGCCTGATGGGCATGAACCTCCTCCCCGTTTTCATCCTCCTGTTATTGATTTGGTTCTGCAACTCCGATGACCGCCTTACACCGGCAAAGCCACTCTCCAACGGCGACATGCTCATCTCAGATGGTGGCATCTTTGCTCTTGGTTTCTTTTCTCCCTGGCAAACTCAACCGAAAACTCATATGTCAGCATATGGTACCACAACATCCCTGTCCGGACATATGTGTGGGTCGCTAACCGCGACAATCCGATCACCGGCAGCTCTTCAGGTAAGTTGGTTCTGACCACCGGCTCTGACCTTGTCTTATCGGACTCCAAAGGCCACACTTTTTGGACAACGATGAACAACATCACCACCAGAGACATCAAAACTGATGCTATACTGCTGGACACCGGGAACCTGGTCATCAGGTTGCCAAATGGCGAAGATATATGGCAGAGCTTCCATCACCCAACCAACACCATCCTCCCAAATATGAGTTTACCACTGAGCAACAACACCAACCTCTCCATGCACCTGGTCGCCTGGAGGGGCCCTGATGACCCATCCACAAGTGACTACTCCTTGGGTGGGGACTTGAGCCTCCAGCTCATCGTCTGGAATAGGACGACGCCATACTGGCGAAGAGCTGCGTTGGATGGTGTATTGGTCTTTGGCACGTATGAGAGAAAATCAGGTCCATAGTGTCCCAAACGACTGTCAATAGAGGGGGTGAGTTCTACTTGACATTGACCGTCTCCGGCGGCTCACCAAGCTTCCGCATGATGCTGCACCACACGGGCATGATGAAATTCCTGGCGTGGAACAACTACTCATTATCTTGGGAAGTATTTTTTGAGCGCCCAGGTCCTAACTGTGATCCCTACGCCTCATGTGGCCCGTTCGGCTATTGTGATGACACACAGACAGTTGCGACATGCAAGTGCCTCGATGGATTTGAAACTGATGGTCTTAACTTTTCCCTAGGATGTCAGAGAAAGAAGGAGGTGCATTGTGGTCGAGGAGATAGTTTCATTACCTTGCGTAACATGAAGCTGCCTGACAAGTTCTTGTACGTCAGGAATAGAAGCTTCGACCAATGCGCAGCAGAATGCAGTCGTAACTGCTCATGCACTGCATACGCTTACGCTGACCTGAGTAGTCTCGGCATGACTGTAGACCAGTCGAGGTGCTTAGTCTGGATGGGTGAGCTTGTTGACATGAAGAAGCGTGGTGATGGTCTTGGGGAGAATCTGTACCTCCGGATTCCCAGCTCATCTGGTATTTGCTCATTTCCCACCTTATTGCTTATACTGTGTGATGGATTGCCTATTAACACAGGATTACATATGCGGCTGATAAAATTTGTACCACTAAGTTTACTAAGGTGGCTACTACAAATAAAGCATGTGGCAGTTAGAGCTATGTTCCATTGAAACATTCTTCCGCATTTGTGCTCTCCTGTTACAGTTTGAAGACGCATAATGAGCTTTGATATTGGATGAAGATTATAGGACCTAGACTAATATATTATGTTCTTGCATACGTATGTTCAATACTACCAGCTGTGTTCTCCCTACCCATCAAAAGAAATCATGTTTTCAGATTCTGCTTCTTTATAATCCTGTCATTTGGCATCGTCTTCGTCAGTGTTTATTCAATTTTACCATTTCACCTGGTAAACATTTACATGCTCATGAGCCTATATGCTAGCGTCTTTGGTGACTGCGGTTACAGTAGACACAAACTTGCTTCCCAGCACTTCCTTTTTGTTGTACCTTACTCCATGTTTTGTGAGAAAATACAATAGTTGCCCAGTTGCCCTTCTCATGCAGTATATATCTAAATATATGTTTTTGGTCTTTCTCTCCCCTCTCCTTCCACCTAAATCAATATTTCGCCTGGATGTACACAGTGCTCCAATCTACTTTTTGTATAGTAAGTATTCTATCTGTTGTCTTTTGCAGTCAGTAAGATGACAGGTGCACTCAAGATTGCACTCCCAGTCATGGCAAGTCTGCTGATACTTGTGTGCATTTGTCTTGTCTGGATACGCAAGTCGAGAGGTTGAAGAAGATTCGTTTATGTATCCAAGTGCATGCCATGTTAATGCATTAGTGCTTAACATAACTGATTAATTCCTGGCAGGCAAGTACCATACCAAGGGACCCATGAATTTTGTGATGCCAAAACAACTGAGCAATTCCGATGAACTATATGATGAGAATTCAGAATATCTGTGGATCAGCTTCAAAGACATCTTCCCTGCTACAGGTGGTTTCTCTGACTCCAATGTGCTTGGAAAAGGAGGCTTTGGCATAGTATACAAGGTAACATAATTCCACTTTGACAATTACAGTAGTGAGATGCACTTTTTCATTTCTGCGGATTAATCTGAATAATTCCACCACGTAGGGGACACTGGAAGGTGGCAAGGAAGTTGCTGTTAAAAGGCTTACCAAGTATTCTGACCAAGGAATGGAGCATTTGAGAAATGAAGTAGTTCTCATCTCAAAAGTGCAGCACAGAAACTTAGTTAGACTTCTTGGTTACTGTATTCACGGAGCTGAGAAGCTTCTTATTTATGAATACTTACCCAACAAAAGCTTAGACTACTTCCTGTTTTGTATGAATTAATCATGTACAATGATTCTTGCATTTAGAATAGGAGCATGCCTGATGTTAAGACTAACATGGCTTCACATACTCTGTTCCGGCATGCAGATGATGCTAAAAGGCCTATGCTTGATTGGCCAACAAGGTTTAGCATAATCAAAGGGGTAGCTAGAGGACTTATGTACCTCCACCATGATTCAAGAATGAGATAATCCACAGAGATCTCAAAGCAAGCAACATCTTATTGGATGTGGAGATGAGACCCAAAATATCGGATTTTGGAATGGCAAGGATTTTTGGTGATAACCAGCAACAAGCGAATACTAGGCATGTTGTCGGGACATAGTGAGTAGTAACTCCTGCACTCTAGAATAACCATGTTTAAAAAACTATTTATGAGCTTCAACTCATCAGTTTTTGTCCACTTGCTTGTGAAACGATTCAAACAGCGGTTACATGTCGCCTGAATATGCGATGGAAGGCATTTTTTCTGTCAAGTCTGATGCGTATAGCTACGGTGTCTTGCTTCTGGAGATTGTAAGTGGGTTAAAGATCAGCTCGCCGCATCACCTTATAATGGATTTTCCAAACCTTATAGATTATGTAAGTGTTGCCAAATGCTTCTAATTTGTATAGCTCGAGTACAACATAGTAAATATGTTTATGAATGCTCGACCTTGTTCCAGGCATGGAACTTCCTGAAAGAAGGAAAATCCGAGGATTTCCTAGACACAGTGCTTCTGGAGAGCTGCTCACTGCATCAAGTGTCTCTGTGCATCCATATTGGCCTTCTGTGTGTCCAAGACTGCCCAAGTGCCAGGCCACTAATGTCGTTAGTCGTGTCTATGCTGGACAACGAGGCCATGCCACTCACAACACCAGAGCAGCCGTTATATTCCGTCGGGAGGAAACATGCTGCAGAAGAAGCAAGGGAGAACTCTGTCAACAATGCAAGCCTGACGACGCTAGCAGGGCGCTAGATGCGGTAACCTGAGTGCCCTGGAACATCAAAGGGAAGCAGATTATGATTGACTGCCAAGTGGGTTTCAGTGGTCAGCTGCAGGTGGAGAATCCTCTCCCGCTTTGACGCCCTCGTCTGATGGTTAGTTTCAAATTAGTATTGATGCTATCTTTGATCCATTGGCTTATAAATCTTATTGTGGTGGGCGTGTTCTTGCTGCTTGAGATCAACTGCTGGGATCCATGACCATTTTGTCAGACGTGTCAAAAGGGAGGGAAATGAGGTCACAATTATCACAACTTTGTAGAATATGGTTGATCAGGTATTCAGGTTCAATGATTGTGTTGAATCCTGGTGTCGAAACTAATTGTGCTTTCTAAAAAAGCTAGCTGTGCGAGGTCGTAATAATTTTTTTTATCAATTGATAATCTCTATTGCCTAAGAGGGTACGTGTACAAATGCTTCGTGAGAAAAGGGCAATGGCGATTGTGAAAACCTATCTGCCTCGAGCCGCCTTCCCTTCTAGCCGCTGCCAGGGCGTCGTTGCCTGGCAAAGCCCGCACGGTGTCGGCACCCGCTGGGAGGTCCGTTTAAGGGTGGCTTTCTGGGAAGTTGGAGGCCTTGGAGAGCTGCTGCGGTCAGAGAAGGAGATAAGGGCTTGAGTGGAGGTCTTCGTCAGGTCATGCTCGGCTGCCGTGTTGGTGAAGCCGGCAGTGGCCGGACGAATCCAGTGTGGTGAGTTTCTATGGCGGCCTGGCCGGCCTAGGCCATCGGAGAATACGGCCGGGACGACAACGAGTTCGATATCAGAACTGGACTTGGCGTACGTTGGCTTGGGAAATTTGTCTCTGGTTGCCTTTAGCTAGTCTTCCCTACTGGTATCAGTGGTGGCATGATCACTTCAAATTGGAGGGACTATTGGGCCAAATTCCCATACTGTAAAAAAATGTTTTATATTCTGAAAAAACAGTAGCTATCTGCTTTTCCACTGGGAGAGGATTTGCCTGGGATTGCTTAAGCAATTCTCTTGATTGTCGACCCCTTGCCAATTGATTCTGACTTGTTTTATCGAGAGCAGAGGCGAATTGTGCAAAGGCTTGTAACTCTGCGAATTGAGCTAGTTTCAATTTGGATTTGCCAGCTACTTGTTTCATGGCTTTAATTTGAGCCGCGGATCCAACTCTGGAAGCAGAAATACCCACATTAATAGCGGGTCGAATTCCGGAATTGAATAGATCCGTAGATAAGAATATTTGTCCATCTGTATATGCTGCTATAGGGCTATAGGAATACATATTCAAACTTGATTGTATGATAAAACTGATTATTGATTCAATTCTTCTACTCGCAGCATCTGTTCTATTAACTTGTAACTGCCTACTAATTACAATATCGAGTGTCCTGGTGATGCGGATGCTATATATATAGCCTTCTCAGACTCATGCGGATGCTATATATATAGTGTCGTGGAATTGTCACGTCAGATGTCCTCGTGAAAGGACTTAGTCGCGAGGCCAACGCATCTATGTGGTAGCTTGAAAGGGGTTGATCGGGACGAGAGACGCAACACGCAAGACAAGGATTTAGACAGCTTCGGGCCCCGGGAAACATCATCCGGTAACAACCCTACATGCTGTTTGTGGCTCTCATTATGCTCAAGAGAAGAGTCGCCGTAAGCCGGCTCCCCTTTGTGTCTAGCCCTAGATATTGTTTCTTGTTGCCCGTCCCTCTTTGGGGAGCCCTGCCCCTCTTTATATAAGTTAGAGGGGCGGGTTACATGTGGAGTCCTAGTAGGACTAGCCTATCTTGTACTACAAGCCGGATACAAGTCCGGGTCTTGATTCCTTGTAAGGGAGATACCCCTTACGCCTTTCCTCTTAAGCCGGCCTATCATAATGTAAGCCGACCTCCTGGGCCCCCGGGTCTTGTCGCTCATCTGATCCGCTTGCCAGGTCACACATAAGTCGTCAGATCGGGCGGGTCACTTAGTGTGTTGTCCAGTTAGGGCGGGTCATTAGTGAGTCGCCAAGTCCGGCCGGGTTATACCTTATGGCAGGGTTACACCGCGGGGTATATCCCTGACATTAGCCCCCAAGTTTAGCTTAGATTTATCCATGGTAAACTTATGCTGCAAAAATAAACACAAGAACAAAATTGATAGGTTGTGCTCCGGGTTAAGAATTCTTGTAAACCGGCACCTGAACATCCTTAAGTCCTTGTCATTTCCTTCTTCTAGAAAATCCAGGTCAATAGACCAGCTTCACAATCAATTTGCTTGTAGAAGAAATATTGTAAACAAATAATCCATCTGAGTCGGCTTCCAAAGCGCCAGCTTAAAATTTTAGGTCTTGACATACTCATCTGATTTCAACCAGCTTAAAGGTATAGACCTTGCCGAGTTATAATTTTCAAAATCTCCCGGTTGTAAAAACTGATAATTCCTCGTCATGATTGTTTCCAACGCCGGTTCATGATTGTTGCCAATGCCGGTTCATGATTATAGATGACACCGGGTTATGATTGTCGCAGACATCGGGTCATAATGATTGGTGATGCCGGGTCAATCTGGTTTGCTCAGAACTGAAAATTGGAAGATATTTCTCCCTTATATCCATATTACCTGTAGCCCCCAATTGCCGGGTTGTCATGCTTGCAACAACCTGGGACTTGTAATTGCCTTATGCTCATAAAACTTTAACCAGTGTAGCCCCCAAGGGCCAGGTCATTATGCAATAATGAGCAGGGACTTTGTAAATATTATCATGTAAACTTGAACAGCAATGTGTAGCCCCCAAGGGCCGGCTCATTACGATGTGATGAGTCGGGTCTTCAATAAGGTGAGCAAACAATGACTTTGCATTAGCCCCCAAGTGTCATGGTGCATGCTTGCAGCGACATGAGACTTGCATATTTGATATAACCTCAATTTGAATAATGTAGCCCCCAAGTGCTGGGTCGTAAGCCTGCAACGACTCGGGACTATTCCTTCCATTGTAGAATAAATCATATCATTTGATAAAATAATAGCCATTGTGCTAAAGCGACTTTGAAAACCTCAATAATACTGGTTATTGATAATTACAATAGAAATCCAGCCATATTGGCTATTCAAGATTTGAATAATGTAACCCGGTATGAAAACCTCAGTCATTCAATATCATCATGAAAATCCAGCCAGTTTTGGCTATTTAAAAATTTGAATACCTCATTGGTTGATAAGTAAACCCGGAGTTTAAATACCGGGCGGCTCTTCGCCAACGACGATTTAATTCACCCTCATTGTAAGCCGGAATTTTTATAACCCGGCGGCTTATAGCCTTTGAGAAAGATCCAGAACAGATAATTATTTTGAAGCATCAAGTTTGGTAATGAGCTTGAACCTTAATCATTTATGTAAGACATAGCTCTGTAAATCCTGCACAGAGTTTAAACAACATATGCCCTGGCGACTTAATGTCAAAAGCCAGGGCGGGTAACCACCCAAATATAGTCTTATCCTGCACACAAGTAGATCACAAGATCCCTATGATCCTTTGAACGATACCACCAGTTTATGTGACCCGGACACTGAAGTTAATAACTCAACTCTGTAAGATCCGACACATATGATATTTGTAACAACTCAAATACTTGCGATTGTATAAAAACAGATAAAAAATTTGAGGCTTCGGATTCGAGTACGATCAGCAAACCGTTCCAAAGGGGTTAAGCTAAGATTCAAATACAATCATATAGCCCCCAGTGGCGTTGGCGTTGCCGATCAAAGTGGGTATCGACAGCTATGTTCTCTTTGGTTCGAATAGGACCTATGTTTGAACAGGAAAACCCCCAAATGACCACTGTGATATTGAATTCGTACTGCCGGTTTACATGACCTGTGTAATAAGGGTAATAATCCAATCCTTAGAAGCCAATGCTTCCATATAAATGATGGTTGTCATAAGCTGGCGACTTATAGTCAAAAGTCAAGCCGGGTTAATCATAAAACACTTATATACATGTGAGATATAATCCCCAAAAGGTCTCAAGTTAAGTAATTGCGGCTGCAATAAACTTTACCAGAGATAGAATAAAACTTTTTGAGGCTTCTGATTCGGATACGATCAGTAAACCGTTCCAAAGGGGTTAAGCTAAGATTCGAATACGATCATATAGCCCCCAGTGGCTTTGGCGATGCCGATCAAGTGGGTATCGACATCTATGTTCTCTTTGGTTCGAATACGACCTATGTTTGAACAGGAAGCCCCCAAGTGACCATAAGAGTTGTTTAACGATGCTGATTCGAATACGATCCACGTCGATTCCCAAAGGGGTTGAGCTATGATTCGGATACGATCAAGAAGCCCCCAAGTAGGTTCAGCAGTTTGCTAATCAAGTGGGTATCGACAGCTATGTTCTCTTTGGTTCGAATACGACCTATGTTTGAATAGGAAGCCCCCAAATGACCGTATAAATTTTGGCATTGCACCGATCAAGAGGGTACTGATGGCTATGCCCGATGAGCAGGAAGCCCCCAAGTGACCATAATAAGATAAGCCGTAAAGTAGGATACCCATGTTTGGAACCGGAATTTCTTAAACCGGATATTGAGATCCTCAAAGCTTTGTAAGGGACAAATTTACCTTGATCCGGATGTTTGAACCGGTTTTGGAAGCTTCAAAGCTTTGCAGGAGAGAGATGTCTCTTGAACCGGATTTTAAACCGGAATTTTCATCTGTATGGTAGTGTCCTCCGGAACCGGGTTATCATCCCCTCCCATGACCCGGAGTTCCCGAGTCATGTCACTGTAGCCCCCGAGTTTTAAGACTACTCGAGGAGTTGGCTTGAGACTCTCCATATTTGACCGTGATATAAACCGGTATGAGTCATTCAACATCTTAGTGACATAACTTGTCCTGCACTGGAGAACTTGCAAGCCAGAGTAATTACTCTTTTAAAGAAAGCAATATATAATATAAAATATACTAGATGGATTTCACCTGATGTGTTGAGCCGGAATTAATCCGTCGCAGAGTTGAT